GGTAAAAGAAGAAATTGGGTAAGAAGCATTCGTTTTCTGTCTTATTTGGTTTGGTTTTCAGATTTGGTTGACCAACACTGTAAAGGTCATACAGCAAGATAAAGTTATTTTGTGAAACATTTTAATGAAACTTATATTAATAGTTTTCACGTCCACAACCTGAAACTAATCAAAATTGGAGTCATATGAGAAATCTTAGTCGTGACCTAAGTAGAGCTAGAACTGACGATCCCAGGGTTGAGTGGCAGACAACTTTCAAAAGTATACATAATATGTCATAATTTATAAATAATGAATTGATTCAATATACAATCTCAAATTAAATGTAAAAAATCAATTTGACATCATATCGATTATGTAAAATTTAAATTTACAGATAAATAAAAGGTTAAAGAAAACGTGTCAAACAATTAAATACAAGGAAGGAAAGTTGTTCACAGTAAGAACATAATTTACGTACCATGTAGGGAATCATAAGCCAAATTATTTTCCAGTATCGGCTCTGCTTTGAAGTTGTTCATAGGTATTTCTAGATATAGAATAATATTTTATAGTTAAAACAAATAGTTTTCTTTGCAATTTCGGTCACTAAATCAGTTAATTGAGTGTTGATGCTTACAACAACCGGGTTTCGGGCTAAGTTTGACAAATAATCTTCTTTCTGTTTTTTTTCTAAAGCTATTATATTCGTTCAGAATAATTTTATAATTTATGTAGTATCTATATCAATTTTGTTCACACAAAGAATAACTAATTATGAGTGATTTAAACCATGAGAAAAAATAATTAACATTTTTAGCAATACAAACAAACATTTGACAATTTCTTACGGTAAATGTGACGAAGCATTTAATTCTGTTTCTCGAGATATTGATGATGTCTGGTGTTGACTTTGCTCCGTCCTACCTATTTTAACATAATCAGGATATAAACAATTTCCTTTAATCTTTCTGTATGAGTATTTTTTCATAAAAACACATTTTTATTAATGAAGCAGTTCCATATATAATGACATTTGTTATGACATAGTTAAAAACTAAATATCTAGTTAAAATTTTGGGAAGAATGCAGAGAAGGGTTAAGTAGTATAAAAACGTGACTGTGCACTTTGCTTAAGTTAGTGACAAGTAAATCTAGAAATTATAATTGGTGCTACATGTTTGTATACTTTATCACTATTTAAGCAAGAATTGGGATCTCTGTAACTATAGAATTCAACAACATTTCAGTCGTAAGATGTATTCCTGATTCTTTAAACATATTTGAGATTATTCGCTAATCATACAATTTTATTCAATGTCATTTATATCCATCAATTAATTTGTACATGAAGCCCACACCACAACATTTTTATAAAAAGCAAATAAAGACAATCACAAAAAATGCCATTCATTTAATTTAAAGTACCTTTCATTATTTGTTTTGTACTTAAATTCACCCATGTTAACGCCACCCCTATTAATACACCGACCGTAAAGAAGGCAATCACAATTGCAGCAATAACACCCGCTGTCAAACATTCCTCGTTTTTTATCTGCAATGACAATGATAAAAAGAACTGGTTTTACAATGGTTTTGCATTTAAAACAACATACTATACTTAAAATGCAGTTTTTTAAGTGAAAGGGAAAACCAATACAATGAGCATTTTAACTTTTGGCAAGACAACCCAAACAATTGTCAATTAAAATTTTTGTCGAATTTGACAATCAAAAATTTAAACAAACATTTGATGTTCTTTATTTTTCCCTATATAATTTTTTAAAGCGAAGGGTTTAAGCTGGGAAAAACAAAAATGCGCTAGACATTCGAAAAAAACCCCCCGGGGTTGGGGTTTTGGGACAACTGAAAAGTCACTCAGGCATTCCCGAAATTCGAAAGGGTTTACAATAAAATTTAAAAAACTAATTTTTTAACCGAGAAAATCAACAAATCAGTTGACGTAACTAAATTACCAATGATGCTTAGAAAAATTTGACTTTAAAACCCTCAACATCCGAAAATTCCCTTAGCTAAAAATAAAAATTTCAATCGAATGTGAAATAGAAAATTAAAAATTAAACCATCATTCAAAATTTTTCCAATGTGGAGCAGCTTAGCCCAATAGAAAAATAAGTCCCAAATTCGTTTATTTGCGAGTTTAAAAAAAAGGTTACCCTAGACAAAATAAAACATTAAAAACATTTTAAAATATTAAATTAAATTTTTCAATATCTTTTTTAAAATCAAAAGCTGCGCTAAAAAAATAAAAATTTTAATTTTCCCAAGTTGGGCCCCCAATTCCCCCAAAAAAAAATTCCCCCCCCGGGAAAAATTTTTTTAAAAAAACCCCTTTTAGAAAAAAAATTTCAGATATACGATATTAAAAAAAAAATTTTTTAACAGACAATCAACAATCAGTTTAAAACATAACAAATTTTACCAATAAATAAACATTAAAAATTTTTTAAAATTTAAGCCCCCCCCACCCCAAAATATTCCTTAGCTTTAAAATATAAAACTTTTGGGGCAAAATGTTGATTGTCTAGTTCATCATTGGAAATTGATTGTTGATTGTCTAGCTCAACATTCGAATAGGGTTTTCTTGAATGTACGTTTTTGAGAGAAAAAATGTTATATTGTAAGAAATAAATCCAAGATGAAGAAAGAACACATATTAAACGAAATCGTTAATATCAAATGTTTACAAAAATATGAAGCATACATAATTTAAATGATAATTTAAACATTATTAAAAATCGTTCCATTTGTATTGTTAATGTTTAAGAACATATGGCGGTATCGCTGATTTTTCCAAATGTCTTAATGCTTATTCAAAAGCATTTGGCTATGGAATATTCTTGAACTATAGTTTACGTGGTATGTTTACAGAAATTAAACTGTTAATGACTTTACATCGAATTCCATTGTCCCCTTTTTAAATATCACCGTTGATTTATTATATTAAATAACTAATAAATTTCTTACAATGCATACGCTGGACAAAATTCCACGAAGAATCTAAAAATGCTAGTTATGTTAAAAATTGGAATACTTTACATATGTTCCTCTAAATATTTACTAGATTATTTATCATTTTTTGATACGTTTTCTGTTATTTAATTGACTTTTGTTATTTAAGTCAGAAATACTTTCTCGGATTGGTTGATATTGCAAAATAAACTTATATAAAAATCAAGCCTTCATCATACACTTTGCAATATAAAATTATTAGAAGAATAAAACAAACGTTGTTTTCTTCAGTGTTATTCAACAGTCTTTAATTGCCGCATACAACGTAATATTATCATTAGAACAATTTGACATAGAGCTTAGAGCTGTTTTGGCTGTTATATCTATTCGATACAAAACAAGCTCTGATCTAATAATAGATAGCCCTTCGTCTAAAGATCTGTCCATAGTCGATTATTTCTTTTATTTAATAGTGTTAAGGCGCAAGAGTTTTGGAGGAGTCTGTTTGAAAATTGAAGCACAATAAGAATTAAATTAAACGATCTCACGTATTTAAGGCATGAATCTAAAATATCATTTTACTATATTTTTTATCGTTTTATATCGTAAATATAATACTCAAATGAGAATTATTCAATATTGTTACTTCCAAAAAACATTATTTGTAAAGATATTACCGAATTTACATTTCATGTTAATAAAGGAAGGTATTTATAAAATTTATTTTCTATAAAGTCTAAGTCAAATGTTTCAATTAGAAATAAATGCATACATTTTAATAATTACATATAATGTTGACACATTTTGGCAGTACATATTTTACATATGCTTCGATATTTGAAAATTGTTTTAGATTTATATAGTTACATATATAAGAATTTACTTGAGTGTGGTTACAACATACAGTATCTTTAAAACATACCACGATCAAGATATTTACTTTCTTAATGTATAGACTTGATATAGTAAAAATCACCTGAACAAAGGCTATTTAAAAAGCTTTTAAACATTTCAAATTTATACCTGTTGTAATTATAGCATTGGTTGTCATTCCATCACCTGGATTAACTGAAATTAAAGACAAGCAAACTAGTTCAGTTGAAATCAACCGCCTTATTATATAACTCATTTTACCGAACATCTATAAAAATTGTTTGGTTTCATAACTTGTTATAAATTTAGCATTGTCATTCTCGAGCAAGATGTTAATTTGTTTACATTTGAACATGAAACATTTTTAAATAATACATCAGAAATGATTATTTCTGTCACGGTCTTTCAACAATTTAATCGCACGAAGAACAGTGCATATGTTTCATATTTCAACTATATAAAGACAAAAAAAAAAAAAAAAAAAAAGATCACGCCTCATAATGACTTTGTTTTCCTATCAAAATAAGTTGTTTGTCTACACCGACTTAAACTCATTTTCGGGCATATTCTTTCCAGACGGTCTACCTAAGCTTTTCTGTGTAACTAACCACTACGTGATCGACTATAAAGAAAAAGATAAAACAGAACTCGGATAAAAATATCCTTAATCTAACACAATACAATCTAACGAAATCAACTCTAAATAGAACAGAATCAATGAATGATTATTGAAGTTTGCTTTTATTTAACTATAGGAATTTTAAAGAATGGTAAATGATAAATCATTTTTGAACTGTTGTAACCCTTTTAGAATACATTAAGGTTTATTACCCTTCCATATTTTTTCCGCCTTTTTGATTGGATATTGATCACCCGAAAGAAAGTGATATTAACGAGCCAGACGGGTAATATACACACTAAATTTCCCCGTTAGGTACCCCACGTTGTAAACAACATGCGCTGTGGCGATGCACGTACGGTTTGATCTTACACGATGTAAATTCCGATTTACAAGCACTTTTTAACTGTCAAATGATAAATGTTTACCAAAATAGAGTAATGATACATATTCTCATCAGTATTGAAAACAATATGACTTTGTCAAAGCTTGATATTAATTCCAAAAAAGTGCGTTCAACAGACTACTCCTTTTCTCTTGTTTACATTCGTTACGTTCGAAAGAATATACGTCATGTGTTTATGTGACGTCATGTTGTGGTCAAGGGGTACCCTAAAGGGAATCTGATTTCGACGTTTCATTTGAAATAGCAATGATATATTTTAAAATCGTCTAAGCTCGACAGGGGAAGGATAACAAAATTATTATTTTGGTTTTGGGGTGATATATGTGGATATATTACCTGCCAAGATAAAATATCACCCGAGCTTGACAGGTAATATATCCACATATATCACTCCAAAACCAAAATAACATATAATATTATTCCTTAATTTGTACTTTAATTTTGATTATACGTTCAAAATGCCTGTATATAAAATAAACATATTTTTTTTCTAAAGAGCACATGCCACGATATATCTTACTGTAAAACAATAATAACAATATATGAGGAAAAGTTTTTTTTTTCTCAAATAAACAATATTTTATATTTGTTAACTGTTGAACAGTTCACACTTCCCCTTATCAAAATTATATATAGGGTTTTGAATAAGAGGTCCGGGATGTCACTTCACTTACAATGACATATATCAATATATTATATTACTCCTTAAGTTGTTGTGTTTTCTCGACTGACATATTATTTTATTAAGTGGTAGTAAACGAACGTATTTTATACAATACATGGTGGTCCAATAATAGATTCATAGGAAGTGGGGTATTTCAAAGTTGCTACAGTTTTCTTTTAAAACACTTTCTTAAACATGTTAAAGGCACATTATGACTCGAAAATCTATTTTTGTTAAATTCTGTAGAGATCAAGTCTAATGTGTTAAATAATGTTTTAATGACGGATTACGAACATGTTAACATGTAAAGAAGCGCTGAATGTTCAGTTATGTGTCGTAAAGGTAGCAAAATGTCATCAAAGTAGTTTTTTATCTTTCATAAAAAATTAATAATGACTACAATTCATACAAAATACTTATTCACTACAATTATAACAATTGCCAAAAGGAGCAAAAAACGCAAACAAAAATTTATGTATATAACGAATGAGTCCTTTTTGAGAAACTGTAACAAGATACCAGAAATATTTTTTTAGAATAAAAATAACATCATTTGTGAAAAATAAAGCATAATATTAACGATGAATTTGACCGGCATTTTCATATTATTTTTAATGTCTTTGAGATGTCGCCAGCGAAACATATTGACAACTAATTTTTCAACAATGCAATATTTACGTTTAAAACTGTGAAACATTTTCCCGCGAAATTGTGCCTAGTACACGTGTTGTAAAAATCAATATACACAATTATTAAAAGGCAGTCAAATGGAGCGAATTTCGTACCTGTGGTACTTATCGAAGTGCCTGTTTGTCCACCATCTGAGCCAGCTGTAAAATTGGAAACATATTTACGACGAGATATGCAAAATATAACACACAAAAGATCCAATAAAGTTTCCTTTTAAAAGGAAAGGCTTGCCCAGTTGTGCCATCATCCCTTCCCTTTAAAATGATTTTTTTTTTGAAAATCCTCCTAAATCAACTCTTTATGATGAAAAAATAATTATAAAACAGACAATAATAAATTGACCTTATATACCAGTAAGAAACACGTTATTTATGTTTTTTACAGGTATAGAGGGTCAATTTTTTATCACTATATTTTTTGTATATCATAAAGGGTTACTTAAGATTTTTTTTTCGAAAAAAAAAAGTTCACTTTTAAAGGGGTAGGTAGGGTGACCCCAAGACTGGACGAGCACCTGTGCCCGTATGTGTCACCAGTGTTATGCATGCAAATTTCGACAAAAGAAGGACCAGAAGGTCACTGATTATAACTGAACCTGATCATGCAACGTAACAACTTTTTTTGTAAAAACGATTTTTTAAAAAAAATCTTTTCTCTATTTTGTATAAAACTAATAAAGAAAATAATCAATCGTAACTAACATTGACTCTCACATTTCATTTTTCACTTTTTTTTTCTATGTCACAGATATACCGACAACACAGGATGCGCTATCTGTAGATCAGCACATGGTAAGGTTAATGATATGCATGGGCTATTTTTAGAAAGACAAAAATCAATCATAAAAGAAACTAACTTTTGCGTCTTAAAAACGAATTGAAACGGAACATTTTCGTTTATAATTTATTTCTTCCTTTTACTTTCGCTTTAAACCAAAAACTCAAGTAAAACTAGAAATCCTATTGATATGAACAGACTAGGATTACCGAAGTAACTTAAATAGCTTAGATTTCCGTAATATTACTTCGTCTGATTCCGCAGTATGACGGAATCGCCTGAATTGTCACGGTTGCAGCGGAAACCTAGACTGGTTTCCCGTTCCACCATGCACTAACAAATGTAAACAGGAAACCACCTAACCGGGACAAGTTTTCCAAAACATTTTTAAAAATTGTTTAAATAAGATGACGTCCTTTTTCTGTTTTATATATATTATTGTTTATGTAATTAATAACTGACAATATCTTTTGACACATATATACATGTATACAATTTTCAGATGTGTTAAATTACAGAGAATTTTTATGTTACAACTTTTTTCGAAAATTGGCAATAAAATGATTTTACTGTTATAAAAAGTCTACAAAAATCGTAAGATTTTAAATTTTATTGCAAAGAGGCTTAACATTTGTTGTGAGCAAACAAAATGATGACCGTATAAAATTCTGTAAAAATATGAAAATTTTTGTTCATGATTATTGATAAAATTATTATGTCAAAGTATATATGGAACTGAGAGCAAGCAAAATAAATCGCCGTGGAATAATTTGATAAAATTTGGTTGAAACGGTAAAGAACAAGTTCAATGGTTATATATATGTTTATACTTGACAAGTTAAAGTTTAACCAACTTTCCTTCGTATGGCTCTGTTGATCAAATATATTTTGTTTTGGTCCTGGTCAACGAGTGAACAGTCTATATCCGCTTTTTGTTGTGTGAAAAAACATCTTACGAACCATCAAAAGTGATAACAATATTCAAATATTTTTTTAATTTTCGTTCCCAATTGGCTGTTGTTGGTTTCAGATATTGATGGAGCTTTGTTATCATAACGTTGCCCTCCCTAGTTGATCTGTATTCTCATATTTTATATACACAGTGAGAATTGAAACCCTTTAATATCAACTTACTTACTGACATCAGTGTAGAACCTTAGGTTGTTTTCAGGTGTATACAAGAAATTGATGCAAAGAATCAAAGGGCGTCCAAGCAAGACATGCAGCAAGTGAAGATGAACTAGTAGACATATGATGACAACATATTCATATAAACTTTTCAATGGTTAATTGGTTTTTGCCAGAAATGTATATCACTTATGAATGAACGGACGAACGACATTGCTCATTGTGAACTTTGATTGGCATGCTAGAGATTAGAATATTACTTGTTATTTTCTTATGATCGTGATTATTAACAGCAACGGATATACATGTATACAATCATTTATAATCCATATGTGTAACGCATGATCAACACCACACTTGTACTTGTCACTTATTTTGTTATCGCTATTAGCTAAGACCCCCTCTTAAGGTAGTAAAAATATGACACTTGTTATATTACCATGTTGATCATGTTGAGCATAATTGTTTATTATACAATAATTGTAATATCTATTTTAATAAAAAAATACAGATTTTATGAATTTGTTTTGTTTTCTTTTTTGTGTTTGATGTGCAATTTAATACTGAGTTTTTACGTTTACTACTCTCTTTTTTATTAAAATTGTAAAAAGTAAGAATTCAATTGTTATATTGACCGATGATTATTAGTCAAAACTTTACTGGAAAAAGTCAGTAAATTATAGTTAATCTTTCAATATATAATATTGTTTATTCTTAAACCATGTTTATGTACATTTGTATTTTCCTTTATCATTTTTTAAATTATCAATCAATTGAATAATTCATAAAATCTAATTTGTAACTTTGAATAATTCCTCGGCATCTTTACTAAACACGAATAACAGATTAAATAAAATGTTTCAAAGTTGATAGTGTCATATATATACCATAAAAATGTACCTTTGTTCTCAATTATTGTACATATTTATTGTTTTTATCTCATATACATAAAATGAAACAAGTTATTGTTGTTGTTGGTTTTTTTTCGAATTGTATGTTTATGTATAATAATTATCAATAAATTTGAGAGTTGATCTGTGTTAATTAATAACTGTAACCAAACTAAGTGACAAACATTCATTTTGGAAAAAAAGCTTATTTATCTGTAAAATATTTGTTCTGTTCTGTAACGATATCAAACATCTACTCCAAAACCGGGAGAGACCAGACAATAAATGTGTTATACTATTCGCACTATACTAAAATAGACCGGGAATTACCGATAGGAGTACATCCCTCTATAAATAGATTTTCGGAATGTTTAGGTCATCAACTCATCAGTCTATTTACAGCTTTCGGATACATGTACAACAATAACATACCATAATAACCCACTGTTTACTACAAAATGATAAATAAAAAACCCCGAAGAGTTCGATTTATTGACGGAAAAGATTATTTCATTTGAAAATGTTGCAGTGCGAAATTCTCCAGTTCGCTATTCCTTGTACATATCGCGACATTTCATTTTTAATTAATAATCAAGCACCCTCATATCGATCGGAATGATCGGCTTTTATTAAGACCGACTAAAGGGCTCGAGAAGTTGCCGTCGCCCTTTCACAACATCTGATTTCATTTCATAAGGGGCGCTTCGGCGCGGACGCCAAAGAGTTTCCATAAGGATCTCCACAAACTGTAACATAACACTCGAATGCCAGATTGTTGTCCCTATTGGCATCAGCTGCTGTTACGTTATACCTGATTGAAGCTACTCGTGTATATATACACTGGTTGTCACTATTAGCAGTGCCCTCATCATATGTACCTTGTGGTGACAGCCAATAAAGTCATCGCTTGTGGAAGTTTCAGATGTTCTATGCCATCGAATAATCGTTTGTGAGAAGCTTCCTATATCAGCAGTACATGTGAGTTCCAACTCATCTCCTACTCCTTGTCTGATGGTAACATTCCTTGTACTATAAAACCATTCTTCTTTGTTAATAATGATGTCACCTGAGGTTTAACTGGAATATTTAACATTAAAAAAGACACAAATGTTTGATGTTTATGCATTCAATAATTAAGCATAGCGATTATGTAAAAGAATTATGCTTTGACTTTCGAAAATATTTCTAATTACACAAGGATATGTTTGATTGGTGTAAGGCTATACAGGCGCATAATACTGCAAGACAATACAAAATTGGTCTACAAACACACTTTCACATCTCCTAATAGATATTTTAAGGGAGTAAGAAAGAGTTTCATTCTCCTCTACATGTATGTCAGTAAATGGTGTAAGAAATAGAATAAACGTTTCTTACAAGATATGCAACTGTTTTTAGATTTAATATTTATAAAAAAAATAACATGTTTGATAGTTTGCTATGAGTAAGATTTTAATCTGTTTACAAATATATCTAGCAGTCCGATTGTAGCCAGCCTTACATATTTTTATTCTCTTGAAGAGGAGTAAGTTTAAGTGACAAATATATTTATTTGTATCCCATACGAAAATGTCTAATCTGACAAAAATCTATGAACATTTAAAAAAAATCATGCTATGTTTTAAGTGTTTACAATTGTTGTGTTATTTGTATTCAAAATATTCACTATAACTAATGTAAAGATGCGGCTTATAAGTTTAACACGTACTACTCAACTTTGAAACTTTTAATTATTATATCTATATGCGATATTTTGTGTGGCGAAATATAAAGCGTTTCGATTATGATTGGATTCAAGTTGTGGCCCTTTGATGACGTCAATAGGAGATAGGTCGGACATTGCCGATTTTTTTATTTATGATAACATGTATTTATATTAATCAAACTTTAAATCTTTACTCTTGTTAGATGCATTTATTTTCTTGGCAAACTTTGCATTAATGACAAAAATATTAATAGTACGTTAAATCTATATTCTTATACAATGTATGCAATAATATGTCATATAAACCAACACCTTCAAAAATATTTACTTTAAGAGCCGAAGGAACTGGATTCGTTTGTTACTTTTTTTTTCGGTGGACTTTATCCGTTGAGTTTAGTGGATCGTACTATGCATATCGGCCGGTGAACAGATATACCGCAGTATGTTAGAAAACTCACAGTTTGTTAAACAATAAAATTAACTAATCCAGCAATACGGGAGGGCATAATAAATATCTAATGCAACAGATTTAACTAGCAACAACTATATTAAACTTGCTCCGTTAGTGTAATCAGGAAATTACAAAATGAGTTTTAATTTTTGGACGCAGTGAACCATCGGCATTTTACAGACATCCAAGGATAAATAAGATTTTGTCCATCCAAGGGTATATAGTGTGTGAACAGGTGAATAATTAAGTTTATATTATGCCATAATTCCTTTCAATTTCATCAACTAAAATATGAATATTTTTGCGTTTACTTTTTCTGTTTCATTCTATTCCAGAAATAGTCAATGTGTAAAAGACAATGCATTGCCAGTTTGAAAAGACTAAAAATCCTTTTTCTTTAGATTGTGTCAAAAAAGTGTCATCTGAATTTGCTATTAATTCCTCCTTTTAATTTCTAAAATTTTTAATTAGAAACCCTTAGTTACTGTAATATATCAACACTTTTTTTTTATGAACAGCCACACCTATATATACAGTGTATCTCAGAAAACCATGGGTTAAATGATTTATCTTAACCATTTAGTTAAGAATGAGTGTCTTAATAGTTAGATATAGAAGTTTGTTATGGTTTTAACTTCTAAAATTTGCATAAAATGCACGAATCTCTACTATCCACTACAAGACAATAAGGAACATATTTTAGAGGAAAAAAACTCCTTAAACTGTCCATAATGCGAGAAAATAAACAAATCTCGGTGCGTCGATCCGTTCGTTCTCTCACGTAATGGACAGTTCTTGGAGTAACATGATTAAAGATTCGATACCTGTAACGTGTTATTTATCAATTTAATTACCTTAAAAATAGTACAGATATTTTCACGTTGGCACAATATGTTTTTATTTTAGAAGTGTTGCTTGTGATTCCACGCATGTGCCGCTCGCTTAAAAAGACATTATACAAACATACCCTTTTCTATTTTGGTACTTTGTTATAAAGGTAAAAACAATTTCAATCATTTTTTATTAATAATTGTTGTTTGACCTTAACATTAGAAAATAGAAATAGATATTCATTTATGACACACCGAAACAAAATGATAACCTTAAAATATGCTACGAATGTTGCATTCTTTTATGCAGACTCAACAACTCCTTTGGTGATTCTATAAGAAAGTGAATATTTGTAAGCTTTGGCGTTTGCCTTTGCAATGCATCGCTGTTTCATTGCTTAAAGCATTTGTTTGCTTTTAGTATATTTAGATGTACCTCATCTCCATCTTACCATTTGTTCAAAGAAATGCTTCATTATTCAATTAGATTTAGTAATAAAATTGTCTTTAAAATGAAATAATAATTCCGAGCTTTGTCAAAATCAAACAAAACTTACCATATGCAGAGAAAGTGGCATTCCTTTTAACATCACGACTTGTTGCTATTATGGTGCTTTTATATGTCAATTTACATCTGTAATACCTGGCATCATCGCAAACTAACTTCTCAATGTTCATAGACAATGTAAGATATATGTAAGCAGGTGTATCAGAATCCCATGATCCTCCAGCAACATAATCTTTAGTATTTGTGTGTTTGTTTGTTCCTATCATTTTACGCCTTTTCTCAACAGTATTTCAGTCATATAGGTGGGTAGTTTCCTAACCATCGTTCCCGGAGAGTACCAGTACTAGACTAGCTTCCTCCTCGCTAAACTACCAAATCATAGCCCGGGGATCGAACCCACGCAAGAGAGGTAACTGGATTAGAATTTATCGACTATAACCCCTCGACCACGGAGGCCGTCTTTAGTATTTTATATTACATCACCAAATAATATAGGAGTTGGATTTTTATTCCTGCTTCCATTGATGCTAATGTCTGCCAATCATAAGGATCTGATCCAGAAAGTGTAATTGATTTAATTAGTCTAATCTGTATGAGGTAAATAGTAATAACATCTGTTTCAGTGATATTACATCTCATAGTTAATGTACCTGTGCTCTCTAGTAAAACTCTCTCCCGTTTAAGAGTGAAATTCACACCAGTTACTGTAACGTAACAGTTGAAATAAAACAGTATTTTGATAGTATTTTCAATCTTACCTGAAACGTTCAAGTGTAATGCAACCCTATTTTTTATTCTAACACAATAATAGTTTGTAAAGGGAAAATTGCTTTTACTCATAAAATGTACTAAAGATTAAACACTCAATGTGAATGAAAAAAAATCAAGAGGGTTTAGAAAAATATAATTTAAAATTAAGAGATGTACATGAAAGATATAGTATAAAATAGACGTACAGTAATATTTTAAAAAAATATAGTATTAAACATAAAGATATCCACAAACACGTAATATTTCCGTTAAAAGTTGCACAATTAAACAATGGCGATAAACAATGGATATACTTTATTATAACAAACAAAAATGATAATCAAATAAATATATATATTTTAATTTTTGACGATGCCTGTAAATTTAAGACAAATTAATTTTGACAGAAATATGTGAACTTAAAACTACCAATCTGAATAACAAAGTTAACCAGTTGTCTGTCAGCACAAACAGTGTTACAAAACCTCATTAAATTGAAGAATACGTGTAATTGTTCTTACAAGTTCATTTAACAACAAAAAAAAAATTTACTACTGTATTAATAAGGTAACCTTATTGCAAATAAAATAATTATCTAAAAGTATGGTGACGTAAACAGTACATGTACTATAAAGCAATGGACATTAAGTTCAGATGTGCACATTAAATGTTTTAAAGACAATTTTCAAAAAAAAAATGAAAGAAAAATACATATTTACTAGAGATGTTCAAACTTGCAATTAACAACTATAAATATAAAAATATAAAAAAGTATGCCTATGAAAGGTACGTATGATAAAAATACACTACGTAAATCTAAGTGTAGACGTTTTACAAGGGACTCCGTTTTTTGTACTTTAATTATTCAATGAATATTACTACAAATCATGTCGTATTAAACTTAGAAATCATTATACTGGAACACTATAAATACTATGAAAAAACAGCATTGCGATTTTGATTACAATAAGCACTGTGTCTGTTCTAACTAAAATAAGAAGCGGTACCCGGTATATGTGAAGCTAGAAAATGCAAAGCACACATGCTGATATAAAATAAATTTGTTTTCTCATGTATGTTTTGTCTTTTTATGGGGTTGAAGCGGGGGATTATCAACTTGCTGTACAAACTACATGGGATGAATCTATGCAAACAAGTTAAATGCGACTTATTTCATAAAAGATATTTTACCAAGCTTTTGGATATTGATCATAATATACAAGCTTATATAAACCTCAACGACTATCTAAGTACTACATAATATTGTGAAAGCTATAAAGAAGCGTATTTGTGCGCATGCATTTAAATTATTTAAATATAAAATCTTAGCCAGTAATCTGCGTATATGTGTATTTATGAATTTCATTACGAATAATAACTGTATCAAGAAAAGAATCAAATTTAGGATCGCGATTATTATCTAAATCAGATAATTAAAGCGCATATCTTGTTATGTAATAAAGGTAATAAAATTGCATGCATTTTAAATCATTTTTTATTTAAGTAATTTTGAATTTTAACTCTAGAAAAAACAATGGAGTATTTTTAAATTATTAAATTTGATCCTGATCTTAAAATCTTACTGAATACTTGGCCTGGTCTGAGTAATTTATATTTTAAATTAATTTGATTAAATAGATAGAGTTTAATTGAATGAATTTGGTCATAGCAACTTAATTGACAGTTTACTTTTCCGTGTTACACATGCATTTGTAGATCATATATATCTATTCAATGTATAAAACATACTTTAGTTTTATAATTATTTCCACTTCATGTCTTAAGTGGTTTTGAAACAAAGATCATATCTCATTTAAAAGATCTTAACGAAATTGCTGGCCATTGTAAATGTTAAGATTAGACTGGGAAAGGCTGAAACAATAATGTTGATATTTTAAAACCTAAATATTAATATATATTAACATCTAGCTGAACATGTGACAGAAAAACAACCATCATACATATAACAACACTTATCAGCACTTCTAAAACATTGAATATAAAGGATTTAATATGGTATATTTCGAACATTAATGAAAATATGTGAAATAAATAAGGTCCGACTTAACAGTGTAACATTTTTTTTTTCAATTTTGTTTGCCATTTCAAAGAATCTGTTTAACTCTTCAGTATCTACATATCACGCAAAATGATTCATTTTGCTTTGAGCATATTGCATGTACTACAATAAAAGGCCAACTGCATTAAAAGTTCAGAAATAGTAAGTTTAGTTTAATGAGAATCATTTCCTATTAAACATCTTATCCAATGCCAATTTTTATATATATAACATTTGAAATTTTAAGGCGTAGAAATGTTCAATATATCTGATATTGAAGTTGAATGTGTTGACTATGACTGGAATATGATTTTTCATTATTAAAAAAGAAACATACATGGTATGATTATAATACACAAATTTCACGTGAACAAATTTAAAACAAAACATAAAACAAATCTGTATGGTCAGTTAATTTTACTCCTTATAATATATACTAATTATGAAACAAATCTTACGGTATCAGTCTGTGCCAAAATATGTTTATAAACAATCCTTGAGGAATAAAATACTATTTTGAAATAATTATATATATTATAGTTTAGCTCAATGGAATTTGGCTTTATATACTTTTTTGGAAAAAAGAAATCTTACCCATTGAGCAAATGTATCGTAACCGGGTATTGCAAGCCGTAATCGCATCAGAGAAGTAGATGTCTCCCTGCCTAGTTGCCCTGCACCACCTCGGCTCGAGATTTCTCCATAGGCTTTTATCTAATAATAAATGAGAGGGTTTTTAAAACTAGATATTACTTTATGCTATTAAAGTAATAGATATTATTTCATTTCCACAAAAACAAAGTATATATATTTAATATATACTATATAGATACGCTGGTGTAAATTGAAAGCAAATAAGTTACATGTACAGGTTCACATTACATATATACGGATGTAATGAAATCATCTGAAAGTATATGATTATCAAACATCATGTAATCGTCAACAGGAAAGTAAGAATGGCGTCCTTTTCGTGTTGTTTGCAATGTCGTCCGGAACACTAAGATGTATGAATACGACAATATCAAGTGGCAGAGCGTCAGTGCGAAACGACGTCATCATCTTGATTAGATTTTAAAGAAGCATATCTCAAGATTCATGCTAAATTTCATGAAAATGTCTTTTAGTGTAAAAAAGATGTCAAAATGTGCAGAATAAACAGACCTTACTGCGTATAAGTCACGCAGTAGAAATATGGTGATAAACACAGCAAAATCAGTCATAACATGTAAATCATTACTTGAATCTTTTTACTTTTTCTCAAAATTGATTTTCCTGAAAGATGTTGGCTCATTTAGAGGAATGTAACTTAAAGACAAAATATGCATTAAGTATATACAATGTAAAACGACATGGTTGTCTATCATAGCACAATGGAAAAAATTGCAAATGACTTAGTGAGGACACCGGAAGGAGGAGACTTCGGACTTACGTGGAAACTGTTGGTCAGGCACGCTAACGAAGTTTGTGTGTTTAACAGGACAGTCACGTTTTGTATTCAACCTTTGTCTTAGAAAATGTGACCTTTTTAACAGGAAACGTGCACATTAAAAGTTTCATGTTCAAAGATATGTTAAGATATGTTATGTGGTCGTAATCACAGGGTTAAAATGATATCTAATATTAATACCAAACTTGCCTCCAGTATTTATCGGGTCCCAATATATTGAGTAAGCATCTGCAAGAACTCTTGAAATATCAACCCATAAATTTAAAAATGGCTGGGAGAAATTGACATCTTGTTTTAAAATATTTTCTCCGATTAGTCTCATCGTGCTATCATCGTTGGTACATTTCATTCTAGCTTCTTGCATATATACTTCATAAAACGGACTGTTTCGGAAGAACATGAGCTTTGGTAACGTCATTTTTCCTGGAAAAACTAAAAAATAATGAAAATAATGATTTGTAGTAAAAACTCCTTGAATAATCTATAAGTTATAGTTTATAGTTTATCACATGGTGCGATGATTTTTCTTTTGTACGGTCCAGTAACCTTTTATTTTTGGTCTACGGTCTCAATTATAGTGTCTGTTATACATGGACCAAATGTATTTACATAATTGTGCTTTATTTGAAATAACGCACACCTTTTTGTAAAGAAGTGTGCGTTATCTGAGATATAAGATTGTTCGTTATTGTCAATAAAGCATGTTACTGGCGTACGGTTAAGAAACATCAAAGATAAATCCCCGCATCATGCGATGAGATAAACTTAAAACAGAAACTGTGTATGTAATATTTCGACATAAATCCTCGTCAATTATACAACTTATATGGATACATTTTAATTTGATGTGTTTTTTCATCTTATAAACATAATTGTAAGGTCCTGGCTGTTTTCTTAGTTAAGCCTATTAAGGTAACCTTATAGCTTCCTTACGCATACAAAAACATCTTACACATATTCCGAATATTTCGTAACCACATTAAATAACACGTATAAGCTGGCTCTGGTCTAATCTAGGCTGGGACATTACGGCTTGTCAATTCTTGGACATTTTAGCTAGCACGAGTCGTTACTGAACCATTCAAACTGTCATGAGTCGTTATTTGGACATGTAAGCCACGGTAGGGAGTCACGTGACTTTTAAGGTTACGCGTACAGACAATATGGCGGCCTAAAACCCTCGCTTCACGTGTGTTTTTCAGGTAATTCTTTATTATATCCCTTTTACTTACATACGAGACCTGTTGCAGCCTACGCGTATAAAGAATTGTTGCCGCCTATACCTTATTTTCCACCCCTGTGCTCATAGTTTTTACAAACGCTCAGAAATTAAACAGAAATTTTCAATGTGGACAATTATTTTTCGGGTAACATTCACGCAAAATTTGTATTTTGTATGAATTTGATTAAACTACGTCGCGTTAGCAAAGAGAAAATGTTCATAGAATTTCTTTATTTGAAAATGTTAATATTAGGCATGTTAAATGTTGACTGGTCATTTTCTTTTCCAATACACGAGAGAAAAATGATTTGGGTAACTCCAACGCATACTTTTATTGTTGGTAACTCCCACGCAATATATGTGCAAGCAATATCTATGCACGTTATAGCCTAGATATTGATTGAAAAAAAAACATGATTGATTTAGCCTTAAACGTTCATTGAATTTTGAATAATATTAAAAATACCGCCAAAAGGTCCTGGATAGAATTTAGCCCCTATGGATAGCAGAATACATATTTACGTGAATATATTAAATGAAGTTTCAATATAGATGAATGAATCGCAGAAATTAAAATAAAAGTCTCAAATATAAGAAAGAGGTCGATTTCAGTTTAAGCACAATAACAGTTGTCATTTTTCATAGTTTGCAGATATGGACGGTTCCAGCTCGGATATTGTTTGTGGATAATGTTGGACAACACTTGTCTTAATGACCACATAAGCTGGCACTCGGCACAGGACCTTGTAAATGTTGTGACAAATCGAAACGTCACGGGTATGGCATTTTACTGTTATTCGTAATATTAGATATTAAAGACATTCAAATCATTTTATCACTTAGTCTTTTATGTAACCAATTATTTTTCAAATTAGTGTCTGTGTTTAATATTATTATGTTGTGTTGTTTTTTTTAATCTAAAGCAAAAATGAAAACAACCTAAAGAATATTAGAGTGGGTCTTTTATTTTTCAAACTAGGTAATAAAATCTAGAGGACTTATGTATGAATGTCATCTTAATATTAACAGTGAAACCCGTAACGTTTCCGATTTGCTGGGCTATAAAATGTTTTACCACAACATTTATAAAGTCCTGTGCAGTGTAGACTGTTTATTTGGTCAATAATTGAAACCTATCCGTGAATGAAATGTTACTACAATATCCGAGATGGAACCTTCCATATCTGCAAAATATGAAAAATGACAACTGTAATTATACTAATAAAAACAGAAATACAAAACCTCCTTCTAATATTTTAGACTTTTGTATCAAAACGCGACCTAGTTGAATGATTTGGGTTTGGTAGGCCTTACGCGAAATTATTGATGCCCTTGGCAATTTATGATTTTACAAGCCATGCCTTTTTGAAATTTATTTATCATATTATTGTAACCTATAAGCAGATGAAGTTTTGTTCGACCCATATAATTTACGCCCCAAGACGATTCGTCAATATAGCTGTATTTATATCTTAGTGATAGTAAAATTAAGTGTGAATTGGTTTGAAAAAAATACATTATATCCATTGCATTATCAAAACAAATATTGATTAAACTGTTTGCAGTTAAATAACAAAGTTGAGTGTTAAATTTTAATTTTAATTGCCGTGAATTTATAGGGAATTATAAATCTATTTTTATATTCTAGATCCTGGTCCCGGCTGAAATTTAGAGTATTGCAGTTGTAGCTTGTATACCATAAATTTAACATGGAAAGGACTGTCAGGTTTGTTTAATTGAAATTCTAATATTTAATATATATATATATATATATATATATATATATATATATATATATATATATATATATATATATATATATATATATATATATATATATATATATATATATATATATATATATATATATATATATATATTATATTTCTTTACAAAGTATAAATATTTCAACTACTGGATATTTATCTTGTCTTAATAATATATTATTTTTCAGAATACTTTTGTAACATCATTATTAATATAAAATTTACATGTTTGTTGTTTACAGGATGCTGCAAACAATGGTCTTAGATAGAGCCTTGAATGAATATTTCTTCGGAAAATGCTGAAGTAACTGATGGGAGCAGTTTTTCTTACCAAGCATAGGTCAGACTTAAATAGCTTCTTTTTAAAAAGTTTTTTTTTGTTTTATGTACATAATTTGCTGTCAATATGAAACTTCAGCTGTATCTTAATTTCTATGCTGTTTTATAATGTAAATCTTAGAGATAAGCATTTTAAGATAAAACAAATCACTAAGTTGATTAATTAAATATATTATTTGAGATTGACAAAGTCAATTTTAACTAGTAACTTCTTATTTTATTTGCAGAAGCAGTAAAAGTATTCAAACACCATCATGAAACACTTAAGACATACCTAGAGAGATCTAGAAGAAGTACTTGTGGAAGATTGGAACAGATTGTAGCTTAATTATTAAACTAAAGGGACTTCTTAAATCGTTTGAATTTAAGCTAAACTTGAACTTTATTTTTAAAAAAATAGCTGAAGTATTTAATAGCGTCTTGGTTTTCTTTGTTAAACTCTGTTACAGTACTTTGCATTATATTAATATTAAAGTATGTTGAAATGACATTGAAACTTCAACTTTGTGCCAACGTTAAATTTCAACGTTTTTTAAACTTTCAAATTCGACCATAAATCCAACGTTATTTCAACGTTGAAATCTGACCATAATACAACGTTGTTCAACGTTGATGTGCCTGCTTGGTTAATTCTATCAAGGACCTATTGGCGGTATTTTTAATATTATTCAAAATTCTATGAAAGTTTGATTCTAAATGCATCAATCATGATTTTTTTCCATCAATATCTAGGCTATAACCTGCATAGATATTGCTTGTACATAAAATATTGCGTGGGAGTTATCAACAATACAAGTACGCGTGGGAGTTACCCAAATCATTTTTCTCTCGTGTAATGGAAATGAAAATGACCAGTTAGAATTTAACATGCCTAATATTTACATTTTCAAATAAAGAAATTATATGAACATTTTCTCTTTGCTCAATCAAGTTTTAAATTAATCAAATTCATAAAAAATACAAATTTTGCGTGAATGTTACCCGAAAAATAATTGTCCACATTGAAAATTTCTGTTGAATTTTTGAGTGTTTGTAAAAGCTATGAGCACAGGGGTGGAAAATAAGGTATAGGCGGCAACAATTCTTTATTCCGCGTAGGCTGCAACAGGTCTCGTATGTAATTAAAAGGGATTTAATAAAGAATTACCTGAAAAACACATGTAAAGCGAGGTTTTTAGGCCGCCATATTGTATGTACGCGTAACCGTAGAAGTCAAGTGATTCCCTACCGTGTAAGCTAACTTGAGAAAAAGTTGGACATTTATATCCTGGTATGAGTCAATATTTGGCATTTAGGCTGGGCGAAGTCAATACTGGGGCATGTAGATTCGGCAAAGTCAATGCCGTGACATAAAGGCTGGGCAAATGCAATGCTGAGACATGAAGGCAGGGCAAAGTCAATGCTGGGACATGTAGGCAGGGCAAAGTCAATGCTTGGACATCTAGGCTGGGCAAAGTCAATGCTGGGACATGTAGGCAGGGCAAAGTCAATGCTTGGACATCTAGGCTGGGCAAAGTCAATGCTGGGACATGGAGAATGGACAAAGTCAATGCTGCGAGATGTAGGCAGGGCAAAGTCAATGCTGGAACATGTAGGCTGGGAAAAATAAATGCTGGAACATGTAGGCTGGGCAATGTCAATGCTGGGATATGTAGGCAGAGCAAAGTCAATGCTGGGATATGAAGGCAGAGCAAAGTCAATGCCGGGATATGTAGGCAGAGCAAAGTCAATGCAGGAACATGTAGGCTGGGCGATGTCAATGCTGGAACATGTAGGCTGGGCAATGTCAATACTGGGTGAGTAGGCATAGCAAAGTCAATGCTCGGATATGTAGGCAGAGCAATGTCAATGCTGGGATATGAAGGCAGAGCAAAGTCAATGCTGGAACATGTAGGCTGTGCAAAGTCAGTGATGAGTCATGTAGGCAGGGCAAAGTCAATGATGAGTCATGTAGGCAGGGCAAAGTCAATGCTGGGATATGTAGGCAGAGCAAAGTCATGGCTGGGATATGTAGGCAGAGCAAAGTCAATGCTGGAACATGTAGGCTGGGCAATGTCAATGCTGGGATATGTAGGCTGAGCAAAGTCAATGGTGGGATATGTAGGCAGAGCAAAGTCAATGCTGAGACATGTAGGCTAGGCAAAGTCAATGATGAGTCATTAAGGTAGGGCAAAGCCAATGCTGGGATATGTAGGCGTTGCAAAGTTAATGCTGGGACATGTAGGTTTGGTATAGTCAATGCTGGGCATGTAGGCATGGCAAAGTCAATACTTAGACCGAATGACCGGAGTCAATATCGGAGTCAATATAATTAGCTGGTTGAATAACACTAAAATCGTTACCCCGGGTGTTATAGTGATTTCCGTACTCGGGAAAGCAATCGAACTTACACTATGTTAAAGAAAACGAAAATGAAGCTTGTATATAAAGAACCATGACTGAACTAAATTAAAACTAGCATTCGAAAATGCCATTCAAATTATTATATATGGTAAAAAATACATTATATACAAGTTTAACCATTCTTACTTTGTCCACAAATGTATCCAACTCGTTTATAGCAGTTCTCGGTTGATAATTTTTTGGATGATTCTAAAATAGCGCATTGCTTATGTTGATTGGTATGTGGTTCCGATATCTTATGGAATGTATCTTCAGATGCTAAATAAAATAAACATAATGAAAATTTTGTGGATGTCTTAAGGTTTCTATAATTATTTTTAAGTGCTTGCACAAAAAAAAAACTCCAAAGAACCAAACATTTTTTTATATATTATGTTAATGTATGTACTGTAATAATCTATAGATCATTGCAGACGTCACATATTCATGGAGTATAAATGGTCCTTGTTTTTTCACTTAAAATTAAATTCTTATATATCTCATCACATATTGTAAGAATAACCGGGTCAGAAGGTAAGTATGTAAATTAATCTACTTATAGATACCTACTTATACTGAATGATTGTCAAACATAGACAAGTGGAGCACTTTCATATCAATAGATCGGTACTAGACCGCTTTTGAGAAAAGAGCCGGTAGGTAAGCGCTCTTCTTTAAGATTCTACAGATTTTTATGTTAATTAAAGTGTTGTTATTCAGTCATTAATCAAACAGTAAACTATAATGCCATTTCTGCACAACATAAACCTTAAATAAATCTTGAAGTCACAATATACTTTTTGTTTTATAACGTTTTGCTATGAACTATGTTCAAGATACTATTTTCTAATTTAATCAATCATGGACATACATACAAATATTTTACTACATCCGTACGTTTTTCATATGATTAATTTTTGTTTTTTTTTGTTTTCTTTTGTTGTTTTGTTTTGTTAAAACAGTTAAAGGTTATACTCAAACTGCCACTATTTGTGACGTTTCAGCTTCAATGGATGTAGGAAACCACTTTAGTTCTCATTCGCATGGTTTGCATATTCAAGGAAGCTTGATAACTTCACTTTATGAAAAAGTTCAACAGCTGAAGTGAAATTCAGCCTTACAACATTAAAATGCACTAAATGTAAATGTTGACCATGCAGCGACCTAAGCAATGGGGCATTGAGATTTATCTTTAAAATTCAGTACGGTAAAACAGTTGTGCTAAGCCCTTGATATATTGGCTTGCTTTGTATCTTTACCATGTTTTCAGTACATTGAGTCTCAGTACTGAGTGTTTCCTTTTTGTAGAAAGTACTTATAGTTTTTTTATAAAGTTGTAATAATGGATTTAGAACATGTAAAATGTTTACAACTTGAGAAAACTACGCTAAATTTAAAATAAAGAGTGAAAACGAAAGGAAAATGCAAAAAGTGGGATTTTGACTTCCATTTAAATATAAAATCATTATAACTGTACTGACTACTGAAATTCAAAATGACAGAAGAAGATGACTCAGCGATATCTCTGTCTAACGACTAACACTTAAGGATTTAGAACAGGACGCAAAAAAAAAGATTTTTGTTTTGAAAAATAAAGATATTCGCAATCTCAAAGCTTATTTTGGGCCTTTAATGTGGATGAACCGTAGAAAAGACGCAAAGAAACTTCCTTTGTTAACTAATTGAACTTTAACATTTTATATTAGCGTTTTTATGATAAATATCGTACTCGGAAATTGACGGAGTTAGCCGAAATTATACGATGAGCTTTTGATAGATGTGCTGATATACTCTTAAACAAGTTACAAAATTATTACCTATAGTATAAAGACTCCAGTAAGGATCTGGGCTGGATAATCCAGATCCACAGAAAAATAAAGTGTCCCCAAAACATTTCCTATTGCACCATCTCGGTAATACCTCGTCTAAGTTGGATTTCAATGATTGAGTTGGCAAACAACGGCAAAATTGTCCCTGTAATATTAATGAAGCAAAAATAAAAATAATTAAATCGACGTTAGAATTATATCTATACAGATGTTTTAAATTGGGTTTGTTTTGATTGGTTTCACGACGCAATAACACAACTTAAGTCATACGGCGCTGAAACAGGAAAAATGATTTTGGCTGCTCATGGGTGTACCAAACTTAAAACATCAGGGGTCAATACCACCCATCACCTAATACATAGACATCAGTAATTTGAACACAATTACCTCACCTACTGGAGCAAAAAATGCATAGCATCCAGTGATTCGAACTCACTGAGTTACCTCTTACGAAGACAATCTTATCAAACAAAATCTTTTTTAAAGGTGAAAATGTAATATTGACAAAATGCTTTTTAATTTCAAAGTTTCTTTGTATATTAATTAACCACTTCCCACGTTTGACAAATATAGAGAGATTAATGGTCAACTCACTGATAAAAGGAATGATGATGGTTGCGATTCGATACTGCACATTTGCAGACATGCTTGAGCGGTGTTATTATCTAAGTTGAATTCCTGATATTCAAATGTCTCTGTTGTAAACTTGAAGCAGCCTGAAAATATATAAATATATACAGTACAAATTCTCCAGAACAATCCCCTTTGGCAGACAAAGATTTGTGGTTGTTGTTGAAACTTAAAGATGTGTTGCTCCATAGAAATCTAATTTATTGTGAATCGAAGTATTACTTTATGAAGGATTGATATTTTCGAAAAGGAATATGCCGTTACTGTTAATGATTTGTTGCTGTACAGATGGTCGTTCTACGCAGGGTTTAACTATATTGACTTCAATTTATAAACGAGTTCAATTCCCTTTCTTATTCTATTTAGCAACATGGTTCATAGTACAGTTAACACTTACTTTAAATGTCATCTTAGAATTGGAAATAAATGTATTTTGTTTACTGACTTAAGATCAAATTATGTTTACCTAAAGCAGTAAAATTATTTATGAACTGGTATGTGGTCTCTAAAACAGGAATAATTTATCAATGTTCAAATAGAGATGTTACATGAAAGATTTTCCTTATATGAACAACAGCTATGGTTTCATTTTTTCAAACACCAAATTTGATTATCTTACGTAAGATTTTTATGTATTTAAAGTAATATTTTACCGTTTGACCAAATCCATGGAGTAAAAAAGCTCTTTGTCCAATAGACTTTCTTATCACTGTCGCTGTTCAACGCCGGTGTATGAATAGGCCCGATTATTTGTTTATATTCATTTAAACTGGCTATTGTCGCTTTCTTTTCTTCACAAATTTCCTCGGCATCTATCCAAGTATCAGCACAATGACTTATAAATATACCATCATGGGTCTCTGTATAATAAACAAATAATGTGTTATGTTATTGCACTATATAATTTCATACTGTATAAGATACATGAGATAAGCAAAGGTAAGCTGGTTGAATGATATTTTGTTGTATAGGGACCGACATGACTGGATCTTTATTTCAGTTTTGCCACTTTTTTTTCAAAATGAGAATATAGCTGACCGAAGAAAAGAAAAAGAAATAGCACGTAGGACTGTCGTATTTTAGAATATCAACTATTATGTTGGTATGATATAGTCATGAACACAATTTTCCTCCATGTGATCAAAACAAAGACAGGAAAAGGAAGAAAAAAGTTGTACATGTAAAATGCAACTGAAACCGATTCATCAATTAAAGAAAAATAAATACATGATTACAAATCTTTAAAGCGACATGCCTCGTCAAAATGTAGATAAAATCAATGTAAAAAGACTGAATACAAAGTCAAATCTTAATTTGATATGAACCTTTTTAGTTCAATGTGCATCAATAACATTAACGTTCAATCCCCCCCCCCCCCCCCGACATTTCTTATCAATGTTCAACTTTCGTTTCAGTACATAAAGCTCTTTTTCTAATATATTTTGTCATGAACTATTTGGTCTAAAATACTTTTCTAACATTAAAAGGAATGATATCAAATGTCCAAAATACCGTTCTAATAAATAAATGAATGATATCTCAACAAATGATATGCTAGTATTTTAATGATTTAATTACGTATGTCAAGCGATAAATTAGTCATTTGCACGTATTTAAACAAATATAAGTAATACCAAATAAATACAATCATAAATTTATTGCATAAAATTGTTCGAGGTAATCCTTTAAAATATTTTACCAATTACTTTTATCGTAAAAGATATATCACATTTGTGTGTATCAATTCATTAATAAAAAAGGTGCGAACCGTGACTGGAGCAAATCGGTATATGACCGTCTAGGAAAAAAACATATTGTAAAAAAATCCTGAAACATTTATAAATTTTATACTTCACAGCTGGCATACATTAAACATTTTTTAACTTATTTATCAACAGCTAAGCATCTATTTTAAACTCTTATTAGATATGTTCAAACCTTTTATATTGACGGCAGTGATGGAGAACAAAAAGAACTACTGTAACAATATAAACGTATTCAACTTACCGCCAAACGTCGACGAATTCGAACAACAGACGCTGGCGTAAGCATTGTCCTTTGGGTCACATTTACCAAAACCAGTCTTCCACTCATCACTAATACAGTCTGAAAAATTGCTTCCGTTTTTTTCACACTTAAAGTTTTCTAGTTGATAGTCGGGGTAATCAGGAATAAAGACTTTGTCATCTTTTCGAGAATATCTGTAAAGAAATATAGGAATGAAATAATCATAATTGGGAGCAATGTCTTTGAAGAAGTAACTAGAGATTAAGTTGAGATTAAGTTGTATGCATCATATTCGTATTGAAAGTGTACCAGGAATTTGTTGAGACAGAATTTGTGATATACCTGTATCTCACTTAAGGATTTAAAACATTTAATTGTTGTCATGAATATCAAGAGTGCAATGAATATTAATTTATAAAAAAATCATTGTTGTGTTCAGTCTTCTCCATATTCGCATATTCAATAATAAACAAAATTCTTATAAGGTTTGTAGAATGAAACATATAAATATACACAATTTTGATACATTATATACCAAGTAACTAAGCCTGAAATGGGTTTAGGTATTAGGTGTATTTTGCCCATATCGTCTACTTTTCAATGCTATTACTATTACAACTCACATACGTTGCTCCTCTAGATACAGTCAGTAGTCTTTTAGACAAGTATCTACATCTTTATTTGAGCCGCGTCATGACAAAACCAACGTAGTGCGTTTGCGACCAGCATGGATCCAGACCAGCCTGCGAATCCGCGCAGTCTTATCAGGATCCATGCTGTTCGTTTACCAACCCTATTACAAGTAGAAAAACTGATAGCGAACAGCATGGATCCTGATCAGACTGTGCGGACGCGCAGGCTGGTCTGGATCCATGCTGGTCGCAAACGCACTATGTTGGTTTTGTCATGACGCGGCTTATTTCTATACCAGATTACATGTACAGAATATACAACAAAATGACAAAAATAAATTCCAAGTTATTGTTAAACGGGTTGATGCTAAATAGATAAAGAAAAAGCCGCATATATTCCTTAAAACAATTTAATGACATCCAAATAATTATTACATTTTTTCGGAATGGAAAAGTGCTACCAAGAAAATAGTAAAGAATGAGCAATATATAACATATTATTGAAACGATTATCATTTACACGTTTTTAGAACGTCAATAAGTATTTGCATGTTTTGCTTTTTTTTAACATACAATTGGCATGAACGTTTTAAAGTTTCATCATGGAATCGTTCTGGTCAATATGCGGTCTATAAATTTATATAGTCACAAAAATCATACTTATAGTTCAGTTGCCTGCATACTGCCGCCGCTTCATTTTCCCCAAAGTTCATATCACAAACTTTGCCCCATCTTTCACCAGCGTGTCTCCTTACTTCAACTCGGCCTTGATTTCCCGCTTGTCCATCTGTGAGTCTTACATCAACTGTAATGTTCAATGCATAAAATAATATATTTTAGTTCACAGCTGAATGAATTTAAATGTTATTAGACACTTGTGTGATGAGAAGCAACAGTTAGTGTTAAGGTATATACATTGCATATTAATTATTGAAGATGCACACATAAAGATCGAGGTATATACTATTTGGGACTTATTTATTGGGTCTGATTTAAAGGAAATTATAAATGGATTTTGAGAAATGTCATGCCATTTCAGCTTTTCTATCCTTTTATTTTTTTACTAGTGTTGATTAAATAGAAAGAATAGCTTTACCATCATTGGAACTTCCTAACATATATTTTCACAATTTTATGTCAGATACCCATTATGTTTCATGACTAATCCAATAATAGCAGCTTTAATGATTGATTTCTCTGTGTGTGTGAATGATTTAATAGCGATTATCGATTTAGATTTTCACCATAAACTATAATATAAATGTTAATTTCCTTACATACGTGTAGTAGAAACAACTTAAACATATTAATTATTCTTCCCCTATATTTATTTGAAAAGGACATGTTTAGATCTGAATATGAGATTAATGTATTGTAAAATTGTTAACATTTGTATGGCGATGTTTAATTGTACAAGTCAAAAATAAAGTATATGTTCTGTTCTGGGATGCATGGTCTGACAATTGATTCAATTAAATGGACATGGTTGTTTGTTGTTTTTTTTCCCGGCAAATACCGTTCACCTTTTCACGCCAACGACACCACCACTTTGTCCCCACTTCGCTATAACTTAACTTTACTTTGTGCTTAAGTAGTATATGTATATTTTCTATTTATACCTTCTTAGTGATAAATAGCCTACTTATGAAGTGATGATATTATCTGGTTGTCCTACTTAGATCTATAAATACATGTATTTGAATAATGAATACCGGAAGTAAAAGGATCGGTCAGTGTCAAGTTGAAGATGTAGACCTCTTAATTTGCTTTTCAAACAACCTAAACCTTAATCTTTATGTACCAAAATCGATATATGTAATTTTATTGGTAAAAAATATTTACTACGATTTTTTAAGAATTAAAAAGAGCTTCAGTGTTAAAGCAAGTTTTAATTAGAACATACCTGTATTAACAGTTGTAATAATTCCACCTAGGACGATAGCACCAAGACAATATACATTTAAGACATCCTTATTATGTGTAAATATTGCTTAAAGAGAAATCAAAAATCATAATTTTCCCTTAACAATACCATTGTAGAACTACGCGTCTCTTTTCGATTCACCGATCCACTTATGAACATTTTTTCTACTCTTCACTGTCGATGATTTTATCGGAGTTTCATTTTTATATATTCATTGTCCTTATTCAGTTCACAATATAAACCAACATAGTGGATTAGTAATTGGACTAAAGAGTTATCTTCCTGAAGGAACAAATACTTTTATTTAAAGCTGCTCACTCGCACACTTTACATGCCAATGTACATTGTAATTATAAGAGTATAAGAGTAATTATAATATTTAGACGATGTTAAAATATGAACCTGTTGCTTTATATCGATGCAAATCGATTCATTTTCACATGTAAATTAAAGCAGCACCCTGCTAGGTTCAGGCTAATTTTCATGATCTTAAATGTATTAAAAAGTAGAATATTTTGAAATGAACAAGGAAAATAACTTAAACATTGCAAACATCACTTGTAATCCACGTAAATTACCAAAAAGTGGCAAAGAAATATGGTGATACATAATAACATACTGCAAAATCAGTCCTAAATAGCACATAGCAAATAAATTATAATTTGAATCTTACATCTTTTTACTTTTTGTAAAATCTAAGTACATTTTTGTCAAGTTTGATTTTCTTAAAATATATTGGCTCACCTGGAGGCATGTAACTTTAATCACTCGTGGGCATCAGTCGTCAACCGGTCAAAAATTATGCAACGGTCTTTAGTAATCTTGTTCTGCTTTTATTAAAAACTGTTTTTATTTAATTTCATCTATTAGTTTAATAGTATTGTTTTTTTATTTGTAAGTTTTTGACTGATATCAATTAATGCATTTTGTTTATGTAATGCACGTGGTTTTACTAATACTATCAAATATGTATGCATATAGAAGAGAATTATAATAACAACAATACAATACATTGAATTGAATTGACCAGTAATTTACGTACATGTACATACGTGAAAGTAGAAGTATGGACATATAAAAAGAAAAGAAAATAAAGAAAAAATACAGAAATACTGGTATAACAAATCGATCCTAATTAATATATTAAGTTGTTCGTACATATGAAAATTATTTTAAACCGTTTTAAAGTCGGTACATTGATACTTAATATCTATAGAATAAAACAAGACAAGTATGTTATTGCTATATTTCTCCTATTGTATCACATTTATTAACATTTCATGCATCGGCTGTTTCGCATACCCCAAGTGACAATTTGCACGGTATTTTAAAGTTCTATTCGCTAGTTTGCTCTTATAAAGGTATTAAAATTTAGAAGAAAACTTGAACAAAAGTTACATTCAGAAAGATAAACGATTCGTATTTAGATTACAAGTGACAATGGCAGGACTTACTGGTGATGCAAGACGTGTTAAGAAAGATGTCCTAGCGGATCTAGTGTCACTAAAACACGATTGTCAAAACTGCATCATGGAAGCTTCAATGCGGAAGGCAGTTCTTGCAGAATCGGAAAAAGACATTAAGAAAGATTTGAAAGTAATAATAAATAAACTGAACATGCTGCTGAAAATGATTCATGACAACGCCAGATTTGTCGCCTCGCAAGAAGTTACAAAAGAAACAGAAAAAGTAAACGATGAAATAATATTCCTTGAGGAGTAGCACAAGAGGTTTGTTGTATCATCAGTGAACTTATCTACGATTATTTCAATATTTCAAAAATTTTACATTTTTTATATTTAAGTGACGAACAGTAGCCGGTGGTAGGGGTCCTGGTCGGCAGTTTGCATTGCCTTCCGTGAAAGGGCTCAATAAAACTACACCTTCACTTTGAATTGTGCCGTGTTTGGGAACTTCCAAATTTACCATTTATATTATCCTCGACTACCGTAAATCCGCGACGCTAAGCATTCTCCGGTGTAACAAACAATAAAAGGTCAACAAGTAGAAAATATACGTCACTAACCTGCTAAAAAATTATTTCTTCAAAATTCTCACGAATATTTCACATGTATAATCTTCAACAAGTGTCAATGTCACCTTTTGTTTACATTTTACAATGGAGGCGGCCATTTTGTTTCACTTCCCGCCATTCGCGGATGTGACGTAATCCCATAGTTCTTTGCAAAAAAGTACAATTAGGCCACATCTAAGTTTGAATATTTGGTTTTGGTCACTACTTGGTCCAAAGTGAGCATTTAATTAAATATAACGGTTCTAACACATTTAACAGATTAACAGTAATATGAAATTAGGTGCTACCTAAACATTGAAAATTGAATTATACTTTTTTGTTGAATGAAATGTTTCTGGTGGCTAGAGACTGACATGTCCCACACTATAGAACATTTACCAACATTATTTACGTGCAAAAGAAAATGTGTTGCAAAGTAAAATTAAATTGATATTATGAAAACAATCAGTGATGAAGAAGGGGTTTCATTTAAATTTTTGGTTCAATTTGTTAATATATTTTGTGTTTAAAGACAGTAAACATAGGATGAAACTTGTTCCCTTTGCCTAGGAGAACAGCATAATTATTCAGCTGCAATATAAATACCCTCTTTGCATGTGTATCTATACCCATAATCAGACATAGGCTGAAAATGTTTAACTAGATAAGCCTCTTCAAGCTGACTAAACAAAGGTGCTGAGCCCATTACAAAATTTTCTGGGTCAACTTTGCCAAAACTCCTGTCTCTTTAATGTGTTTTTGGCACACAATACATTTAGGATGCCCCGAGGACAGATACACCATCTTCCCAACAAATTTGTTAGCATTTATCAGTGCTGTTGGGGAATATAGTCTGAAGATTTTCTTCATTGACTGTGGGTTAAGCTTAAAATAATAAAAAAAAATATTCAAAAATACAGGACTGAAAATTTAACAAAAAACATATGATTGGCCTTATTTTTTGATAAGTGGCGGGTAATTCCATATATGGAAAGTTACTATGAAGCAGACGAATTTTTATTTTTTTGAAATTCAGACAATTGTGCATTAAAAATGGATTTTAAAAGTTATAGAAATTTGGGGATAAGGAAAATGGTAAGTTTTACATTGAAAATAGTTTTGAAGGCTCTTACATGTTTAAACAGCATTATTTTTGTTAATGTTTTTGAGGTCAAAGTAAATTCACCCTAGAGAAAAAATTTCCCACGGTCACGCATGCGCAGAAACCAGTTAGTCCGAGACTATCATAGATACAAAGATTGCCGCGAATCTACGGTAGTCGCGAAATAAGGGGAGTTGATGATATACTATTTTATATAAACATATTAGATTAGATTAGATAAAAGAATACTTGTGTTTTAATGGTTGCAAATGCCAGCAAAATTATTCAGATATGGTTATTACGGGTAAAACGTGCATATCTACTTAGTTGGTTCGTTGGTTGGTTCGTTGGTTAATTAGTTCTTTCGCTCGTTCGTTCGCTCGCTAGCTAGCTAGCTAGCGTTTGTTTGTTTGTTCTTTGTTTGTTTGTTTGCTTGTTTGTAACATATATCACATTATCATAAAAACATGAAAGATGATTTTCTTCGACTGAAAAGTAAAATTATCAATGTATAAAACGCACGACCTAAAGTAAACTGTTTGTAATAAACATTAAAATATGTGTATTTCAGCCGGGCAGAAATGGAAGAATATGTTAAAGACAAGACATCAAATACAAATATGAAACATTACAAGTAGGAAAGGAAAAATGCGAAGAAACAAGAGAAAGAATTGATCAGTGTAAACTAGGCATCATGAAAAGGTCAGCAAAGTTCGTATTACATCCTTTGCTCGCACAAATTTTGGAGCAGATGGAAACTTTCTC